TCACACGGGTGTTTGGTTATGTTATGAGTAGTTCATTTGAAAGAGATAAATTTTTATTCTAATTTCACATGAGACTATTGCATTCTTTTCCTCAAAGTACGTGAAAAAAGGTTTCATTTAGTAAAATATATATAAAAAGTGCTCAAATTGTGCTTTCTTTTTGGAGCTTTCGAGACTTCAACGTATCTGTTAGAAAAACCTCAAATGTACAGAATTAAAGTCATGATTAATACATGAATGTCAACGAAAATTAAATCATTGTCCATACACTGAATTACCAACTCATGAATTATTCTCACAGGACTCGTGAATTTAATCCTATTTGAATGAGTTTATTCAGATTTTGGTCTTCATTTTCTTCTATTAATTTTTTTTTGCCTGCATTGCTCAAGGCGATGGATCATAAAAATGTTATTCATTAGCAATTTAACTATGACCTTCCGTTCCGTACGTCGCGAGCTCTAATTTTTTAAATAATTACGAGACGTGATGCTCGATCTGTTCGGTGACAAAGAACTCCCACATAATCCAAACGGATTAAATAAAAAGAAGTAAGGAACAATTGAAAAATCATTGTTCAACATTATTAAGACTTACTTTTACTGTCATATTTCGGTGAGAGGTGAAAAGAAATGAAATATGGTTAGTGCAGAGTTCAGAGTAGCTCAATTAGTTACCTCCTCTACGAGTGAAGTTCATTTATGCTACTAACTAAGTTGGTGTTAAGTTTGAAATTTCTGGATGCACAATATAGGAAAGTAAAGATTAAAATAAAAATTAAACTTCGTAATAAAACTATCTTTCCTCTTACCAAACAATTTCAGCACAACGAAAAAACTTGAAAAAAATTGTTCACAAAGCACCTGTTGCAGGGAGTTTAGACCCATAATCGAAGCAAGAAGGTATCCTGAAAGAGGTGGTCAGTACTATCCAGGCCTATTCTTCAATGCCGAAGATACCATACTATACTATACTAAGGCGCGGATGATGATAATTCATCAGGTTTCGCAAGGTTCACAACAACCAAGCCTGTAACTATACCTGATCTGTCCACAATCAGCTGCTCACTCGCAATACCAGAGAGCAGAGCTGGGCAGCGCTACTTTGAAATGTAGCGGCCGCTACCGCTACCGCTACATGCTCTAAATGTAGCGGGCGCTACCGCTACCGCTACATGCTCTAAATGTAGCGGGCGCTACCGCTACCGCTACATGCTCTAAATGTAGCGGGCGCTACCGCTATCGCTACAATTGCTTAAATGTAGCGCAGCTACCGCTACCGCTTTAGTAGCGCGCTACTACCCACCTCTGGTAACAACTAACATGTTGACACTAGTAACTGGCCGAGGTTGACAACATTACACCGAAATCTTTGGTACAGTTTTATTCTGTAATTTATATTAGGTATGTATCATGCTGGTTTTTAGATAATATTTAATACTATTAAGTAAAATCTAAAGCCTTTATCTATAAATGTAGCGGTAGCGCTGTAGCGGCAAAACCTCGTATCGCTACTTAAATATGTAGCGGGCGCTACCGCTACCGCTGCAATTGCTTAAATGTAGCGCCGCGACCGCTACATGTAGCGCGCTACTGCCCACCTCTGCCAGAGAGTATGTACCTTCTACTGCGGTAGTATGTCGTACTCTTCTCTTTGTCGGCCCACAACATCGACTGCTCACATCTTCTTCCAGAACCACACCAGAGTTTTGCCACGTCGAGGTCGATAAGTAAATTCATTGATACATCGATGTTTGCTATTAATGCAGAATAAGGACGAAAAGAATGCCTAACGTAATTGTCCATTACCATCACGCTGGTAATCCATGAGACGGGATTTTCTCCGGTTTTTTAATGGTAGCTCCTCGAACCATTTCGAAATAGCTTCATCAATGGGCCTAATGTTTTCCCCGCATAGTGAAAAATAATCGAACCTATTCTGAACAGAATGAATCGTTTTCAGAGGTTAACTGCTTTTCAGCACACCGTGGCCAGATTTTTATGAGTGCAGAATCCTCTGTTCTTTAGTTAAAATGAAGTTAATCCGAACGACAAAACTGTAATCTAAGATTAATCTAATCATAATGTCACAGAAGCTTGAACTGTTTTCTCAAGATTTAAGCGTTTGTTTCGTACCGACCAGGAAGTGCAAAACTGATCACAAATTCAATTGTTGCATAGATTTATTTGTCATTAACATTATTCGACCGTTTCAGCAATCCTTTCCTGTGCAAAAGTAACAATCATATACAGATGTGAAAGATAAAGCCAATGAACGGCTAAACTCAAAATTCTCAACATCCGTTAGAAATTTAGTTATTTCAATTGGAATGTCCATAATTATAAATAACATTACGGAACAAGCTGATCAATTACAGGTGGCCTGCACAATTTAACATTATGGCAGTGCGATTACAAGATTTTCCTTGCTCGGTTCGATCTCAATTCTCGTAGCCAATTTTTTCCCGCCTTCTTTAAATTTTCATCTAAAGAAGAAAGCCAAATGGCCTGCGCCCCCCCCCCTTTAGTCTTCGGAGGCGGACAGTCTCCGAACTGGCCCTATCGAAGTACACCTGAGCCTTGGCTACCGCGACACACACCTTGGCTACTTACCTCGGCTACCGCTACCGAACTTCCCCTGGTACACACTCTTTTACGGGTCGGTTGATGGATTGGCAGAGTATTTCACGTGGTTGCGATCCCGGAAGCGACTAGGCTATCTGGAGCCCTGATGGGTGGATAGCTAGAGGTCAGCATAGCCCAAGTCCACAGTGCGATTCATATACCTTCCCGAGCGTAACGAAGCCGGGCATCTTCACGGCTTTTGACACAAAGCGCCCACCACAACAGCGCCGTTCAGTCACAGGCCGGAGCGCATACAGGCCGGAGCACAACTGGCCGGGGCTCAACAGGCCCTACCGCAAAAGCTACTCCTAACGTAACCTAACCTAACCTGCGCCGCCTGTTGCGGTAGGGGCCTGTTGCGCTCCGGCCACTTGCGCTGCGGCGCTGTGGAGCAGTGGCCGTGTTGTGCAAAGCGGATTTACTGTTAGCCGGAGTTACCCACAGCTCATTGGTCTGAGGCTATGTGTAGATATTGCATGCCGATGGTTGGCGTTAGGCCCAGGGTTTGTTTACGAGTCAATTTTATTACCCACGGCTGCGCTCCTGCCCTGATTATACTTCAAAACTACCAACGGTTCGAGGTACGGGAAATAGTTGGCTACTTATTTCGTGGACTTCGGCCAATTCAATTTGGAAACTTCAAAGAATAAAAGCCCGTTATCTCTCGTAAAATATTAATCATATCTCGTCTAATCATATCTCTCGCTATTCAGTTTTTCTCGCGATTTTTACTGGCAACATCCAAGTGGGCGAGGAGATCGTAGGCGGTCGCCTGAACACTGGATCGGACCGATCGGTCGCTCCTTTTTAGCAACCTCTCGCCGGATAAAATAAACATTTACTTTCTTGTATGGCCACTGCCATGCAGATCGTCCACCACTCACCAGCTCAGGTCCAGCACTAAGTTCCCCCCTCCTGTCAATAATGGGGGAGGATGAGAAGAGGAGGCGATTTGGTCCGCTGGTGTTATAGCATCAGAGCCTGACGAAGTCCTGGTCTCCTGAGCTTCGTTAGTGGGAGGCATCCGTGATGGCTCGAATGACGAGAGGGGGGGGGCCACGGTACCATCACAACTTCGGTGGTTCGTCTCGACTCCAGCGTGCCATCAGGATCATGGTGCCTATAGAGGAGGGATGCGTATGTGGTGCCTGGTCGTGTGACAACAAGAGCACTCGCCTGACGCTTGACGTCTCTGTACATTAGTTTTTGTTTGACTTGGATTGATAATTTCCTGTTAGAGTTTGTAGTGGAAGCAGTTAGTCGAGGATGCCTACTATGATTCACTTACTTCACTACAATTGGGGCATTCAGCTGGGCGAAGGCACGACAGCTTATACGCATCTTCTGATCATCTGGGGCATATAGCAGTGGATGCTCGACATGTTGTGGTTCCATGGTTGAAGCGCTGGCACTTAGAGCATCGGCGTGGGCGAGGGATGAACTCTCACACGGAGCATCGGTGCCAACCAATCTTCACCTAAGTTGGGAGTTTGCATACTGCGAAGCTCAGTACATATAAAGGTAGGTCCAGTAGGGCGCCATGCATATCCTTTTTCATTTGGTAATCGAGTTGACGTTAAAGTGGCTGAGATGCGCTTGTAGGTTTTCGACAGTGTACTTGGGCTCATTGCGGTAGTAGATAGTTCCTCTAGTTTCGTTCAGTGCACTGTGTGGTTCAACGGTGACAGAACAAGTTGCCAGTGACGACTTGGTATTTTGTATTGCTTCGCTCTGTATTTTGCTTTGCACTTCCACTATGAGTGCTCCGTCGCGGGTCACATGCACATTATTCGGACTTGTTACCGGTTAGCCAGGACTACATCAATGGCAGTTAGGTTCTCAATCGTCGTCGATGAGACGGGTGAGACAGCAGCCTAAGCTGCCGTCCCCCACCGTGCCCACGTGCAACCCCCGTTAGTCTAAACACCAGGGCTCGGTCAATTTGTCATGATTGAATCTACCAGGGAAGCCCCGACAACACAGCCCTAGCCATCATTGCATTTCGCAAGCCCTCACCCCACGCTAAGGACGGGGCAGCATCTCTCTTCGTCGTAAATAAAGGATTAAGAGTAGTGCCTTGGGGGGGAACTGTTAGAATAACAAGGCTTCAGTATTTTTTGCTTTGCTGTTGAACAGCTCGATATAGATGAAACTAATAGTAACGGCTAACTTTCACAACGAAATTCAATGTTTGTCAATCTTCTTTCCTTTGACTTCTCAGTACAAAATTAATGAAATTTCTCTATTCATACCAACATTTATTAATACAGATCTTGGTCAGAAATTTTAGAGCAAGCTCGTAGGATTCCGGATTATTTACTTCAACGTCTAATTGCGACAATTGCATTAGATAGGACAGGATACTAAAGGCAAGTGTTCATGACAAATAATTTAATTCATCGAAATTTACACGAGGAATGACAATAAGTTAAGATAAGAAGAATGAACATGAAACAGAATTTACGCTGTAATGTACATTTGGAATAAAAGAATACATTTTGCTCGTCTATCATTTAGCAGTTCCTAGCAAAAAATTGTAACTTGAGCAGATCTCCCCAAACAGAGCAAGAAGCCAAGGGAGCTTCCGTCAACAACCTAAATCAGATTCACACGAACACGTCCACATTATTTCACTTCATAACTAAACCGTACCAGTGGTGTGCTCAAGGCTTTTTTCCTCACTTGTAAACTTCGGTGCCATAGAGATAGCATTCATAAATAAGTGAAACAAAGTGGTCATCGTCATGAATTATTTTTGACCTCCTGCATTCATTAATAACATTAGACGCTCGTCAAAAAGGTAGAGTTATACGCCTATTCGCAGTGTGGCACTGATAGACTTGACTGTTAACATCATAGTAAGTAATTTGATTCAATTCTCGAACGGTTAATAGGAAAAAAGTATAAGAGAAAAATTGACCAAACAAACGGTGAAGACGTAAGGAAAATGACTGAATACCCAATACCATTACAACATTACAAACATCAATTTCTGCATGGTTGCGATGCATGGTTGATGCATCGCAAAATGATCAGTAAGTGGAAATAAACAACACACACGAAGAAAAAACAAACCCTGTGTTTTGACATGACTAAGTATGTTAATCAGTGGTTAAAATTCCTGATTAACCACTTTCATTGCGCATGTTTTACCAGCGACTAACAGCGCTTTTACGAACAGACGAACGCGTAGTATACGGAAAGACACGCACAGCTGAGCAGAAGTATAACTGATAAAGACTCGGGAGTCCTGCTCGATTGAATCATGTACACGCATGAGTATCATAAATATGTATAAAATTACTGCGGACTGACACGAACGATGGTAGATTCATCGAAAAACTGGTCGACTCACTATCCTCATAACGAGATTTAATTCGATCAACAATTGTGTGCAGCATAAGTAGTGTATAAACTTGCGGCGAATAGTGAAGAACAAGTAATTACTGCTACGCTCATGAACATCAATTAGGTTTCATTCAAGCAACATACTCCTCGCCGTTCAAATATTTACATTACGAGGTTCGTGCAAAGCATCTTACTGTATCTGCAGTTGAAGATCCAAATAACTGAGCATTACCGTAGTTATGGTAAATAATAAAAAAAACATGAAAATACTAGAGAAAATCGAAAATTTACCTCGATTTTGAACAAAAATAGGGTTTGCGTTGATATGGCACAACACATGCACCCCATTTGTGAACCCTATTTGACTTGTGTCAAGTTCAAACTGGTAAACATAATTAATAAGATCTCTGATAATTAATGCCTGTCTAACAAAACACCTGCAAACTAAATTGGTCCTATTATTCACATATATCATAACCATCCATTTAATAACTACCTATTTCATAGAAAAAAGCGTCCACTGAAGGTAGACACATCTTTTTCAATCAAGTTAGACATATCTACTTCTCTCGAGGATATCTACTTCCACTAGTGTCGGCAGATTGCAATTACACCAGATGATCAGTTCACACTGCGATCCTTGCATCCATTGAGGCTATCTAATCGTACGGAAGAATTTTTTTGCACTGATGGCATCAGCTTGACCTGATGGCATCAGCTTGACCTGATGGCGACTTATCGCACTATTTCCACAGATGGTGTAGGGCTTGACCCGATGGCTTGCTAATCGCACTATTTCCACAGATGGTATAGAGACCTGATGGCGACTAGACGCACTATTTCCACAGATGGTATAGAGCTTGACCTGATGGCTTGCTAACTGCACTGATGACTCCTACTTCCACTGATGGTACAGGGCTTTCCTCTGCGCCAGTTTCCTGGTGATGAGCGCGGCAGCCACGAGGCCCAGCAAGGCTCCCGCGATAAGCACGTAGTCGAAGTCATCCTTCAGCATGTCGAACATTTTGCTCGGGAACACGCGGCTGAAGAACAGGTCTGCACATTCAAACAGTTTGTGTCAGCGATTATACACAAAGAAGCCAATTAAGGTTAAGCAAAAATTGAAAAGAGGATATGCAGTTTAAGGTGAGTATGATTCGGTATGAAGAATCGAAAGAATAAAATATTTTGTACGTGAACTGCGAAGCAAATATGACAGGTTAATGTGCTAGAGGTTTAATTTGAACGAAGTTGAAACGGGAAAAATGGCACAAATGTTGAGAAGGAAGTGATGGCTCTAGAGTCTAGGAGTGTCTTTTTCAAGTAGTAATATGGATAAATCATAAGATGATTAATTATTTAAAATCAGTACCTAAATGATCACGTAATGTAAACATGATACGTTATACCCAGACGGGCAAATTGGTACATGGCAGCGTCAGAATAGAAATCTAATGAGTGAATTGTTGGACCCCAGAACTCAAATATAATGTATACTTTTACTGTATCTAAAAAGCAAGTTTACAAGCAAATGTCTCTTCCTGGTAGGTATTTCCTAACGTGCATAATACGCAAATAAAAATTAAATACCGAAAATCGCGCTTCCATCCATTGAAGTACAAGGAAATAAGCGAGCAAAAGGTTATAATTTCTCACCAAGCCCGTAAACAAAGACGATGCTTGTGGACTCGAGTCCTGTGGGAGCGGAGTAAATCCCCGAGACGCGTGGCAGGGTTTGGTTGTAGGAGATGATGTCGGTGGAGGGGAGATGCACCTCGGGCATGTACTGCACGAGGCCTTCTTCCCTCGGCCCTCCGCCTGACATCGGACGTCGGGGGTCGACGAGCCAGCGCGCCACCTGGTCGAAAAAATTACAAAAATTAGACTTCATCCCAAGATCCATACACAATATGAGGCATTGGAGATCGAGCCACGATGAAATCTGAACAATCAATCAAGAAGATTAAGAAGGATGGATTTTATAATTAAACTTGTGTACCGATGAAACGAATAAGGAAACTGCTTCGGTGCTTGACAGTTGCATAAAATGGCAGCATTTACCTGCGCTATTCCGCCAGTATCGAGGGCCAGCAGCAAGCACTTGGTGGTGATGCTCTTCTCAGTGATGGTGTGGGCTGAGGCCTGCACCCCGAACGGCAGAATGTAAGCCTGGCGCTCGACAAGCGGCGGCCGCTGGGCTCCGGCAAGCGATGAGAAAGCCGTCGCGTTCGCTTGGCTTGGACCCTCGAACAATTCCAGTGAGTGGAGCTGTGATTACGAATTAATTGTCAAGCATACTATCTCTCGAATTTCAAGGGTACTGTATAAAATCATTTGAATTCGGGACACCTCGTGAAATTGGCCTACAGGCAGAACAATTGTGTAAAATCTGTGTCGAGTCTAAACTTTCATTCACAAGAGCTTACAAGGCAAAATGCACATAAAGATCAGTAAAAAAAAACTGGAGCCCGACCTCATGGCGGCGATTCCTGTCGTGATAGTAGGTGTAGACAACCCAGTTCTCGGAGTGGATGACGTGCACAGGTCCGGACACCCGAGAGTGGCTGATCCAGTCCACCACAGCACCCGACACCAAGTCCACCAAGTAGACGCCCAGCAAGTCTGCCACAGCATTACATCAACCACAAATAATGACGGCATTCTTTAGTCATACGTTTCAAGACACTGTAAAAAATTTTGGTATCGGAGGTAAGCATTCTTGAATTTTATTTTTCCATGATCATTCAATCGGCACAGATTTGATTTTCATTTCTATTCAAAACGTTTGTTTGTTTGACGAACTACTAGATCATAAACTTCTCGTCTATTCAATGTTACTTGTCTCCACAAATAACGGCCATTTCCCGACTCTTAGACCCACTTTCGTTGATGTGGTCGAGACCTCTGGCCACAACCACGGCCAGGTTGGGGTTGGTGTACTTGTAGAGCACAGAGCGGTCGGCCATGACACGGCCTGCCGAGTGCACCTTGTCGCCAGGACGCTTAGTGTACACGCCCTCGATGGTGCCTGGCGGGAAGTGCTGGCTCCACAGCGGCGTCAGTTTAAGCGACTGACAACAGACAACGCCGTGAGAATAGGTTATCAACCTCCAAATTGTTATAAAGATAATTCTAAAAATACTAAATAATCAATCAATAACAATTTTATAATTCCATGATTATTATAGAATATTTAGTAATTATTAATAATTTCGATACTTAAATCGATCCATAATTTGCAGCAGTAGTCGCACTACCTTAGCGCGACACTTCTAAAGAATTTCTACAATACAATAAGAATCAAATGCATTCTTAAAAGTGAGAGTAGGAAATTAAACTACTATTTATTGCACAAAAACACGATCGAATCTTCACCTCTTTGGTGGAGCTCCTCAGGGAATGTCCGGTGATGTGCGTGCTGTTGCGAGTGGCGATGTAGAGCACATCTTTGTGGGGCAGGACGACGCTCAGCTCAGTGCCGCTGGGGAACGCGTGTACCCCTAATGATGTGTCAACCACCAGCAGCGGCTAGCGAATATAACAGGCATAAATCAACTCTAAACTTCACCGCCAACAGAGCACAAGTTCAGAATGAAAGCGACTATTATAAAAAACTGTATCTGATTATCCACGAAAGAGAAATAATAAAGTTATTACTAAATAACTCATTAATCATGCAGAAAGAAAGCAACTATTGGCCAAGGATTGATCTCATTGATTAGGAAGAAACGACTATTAAATTTTACAAAGGTACCAAAGATCTCATTAATCATGCAGAAAGAAAGCAACTACGGTATTACCCAAGGATGGATCTCATAGTTCAGGAAAGAACGAATATTCAATTCTACAAAGGCAGAAATTCAGACCTTGATGAACTGTTGGTCATTTTGCGCGAGCATGGAGGCCTGGGAGATGCGATAGGGCAAAAACTCGAGGCCTTTGCCAGTGGGCTCCCCTGTGAGGGGGTTGAATGTGTGCACCACGCCTCTGCAGGAGTCCTGCCCAACATCAAACAGGATTTATTTAATAATTATCATATACGAAACAAGACTCTCTTAAACTTCAATATTGAAACTTGTGACGATAATTACTACATAAATTTGTGGAATAAATAGAATATGGAACAGGAAAGCCAATCAGTAGAATTCCAAAATTAGGGATAATAAATATGCCTTGTATTGGATCTTGTGACAAGCAAAAATTGTGAATTATTAGTAGATTACGAGTGGAAAAGGGAGATCACAAGAATTTATGATCAAAGAATAAATTGCACATTCGTAACAACATCTAAGGATGAAAGTCAATACTGTGTACAAGCTAAGGAAGTTTAGTAGTTTACTAAACTACGTACCTAACCTGGATCCCTCATCAAAATATACTTATTAGAGAACATACTTTGGAAGTAACATCAAATAAACAAATTTTTCTTAGTAGGATTTTTGGTTGAAAATCATTTCGGAACCCAAACACCATATTACGTAAAATATTTCCAGTAACATGAAGAATTTCAAGTCGAAATGCTAAATTAAGAAATAGTTTAAGGAAAGCAAATACTTGGTGGCCACATAGAAAAGCATTGTTTTTGGGATGCCTTGCGATGGTAATTACAATTGTTAAATAACCTAAATTTTCTATAATTCTTTCATTTTTATTAACTTTACCTAATCTTATATTCTTTGAAAATAATATACAATGCAAATATTAATTTGGCAGCAGTTCATGATCAAACCTGCGGAGATGGTTTAATTAAGAAGCTAGCGGGACATCCGTCACGTGCCCAATACAACGTTAACAATCACCGGCGGAGATTGTTTGATCATGATGTTTTTTAAAACGTTTTTCTTAGCTTAGCTTCGCGTTTGTTTGTTTGTTTGTTTGTTTATTTGTTTGTTTGTTTGTTTGTTTGTTGTTAACATTGACAACGAAAATTAGCCTACTTCTGATTGTTCTAGAGATCTGAAATTCGGCATGCAGGCTATTTTCGCCTAACAATTTCAGATACTAAATTTCCAAAATTTAAAAATCTGCCCGACACACGTTTTTTTTTTGGGGCGAACCATAATTTATTTTCTACTTTTTAGTCCACAAGAAAAACGTGGTTTTTTAAAAAGTTTTTTTAAGTATTTTATTATTTAATTAGAGTGCGGAAGAAGACAGTAATAATCAATTGCGGGGATTGTTCGATCATGATGTTTTTTATTTAATTCGAGAGCGGAAGACGACGGTAATAATCACTTGCTGAGATTGTTCGATAATGAAGTTTTTTATTTAATTCGAGAGCGGAAGACGACGGTAATAATCACTTGCTGAGATTGTTCGATCATGATGTAATATATTTAATATGAGTACGGAAGACGACGGTGCTAATGACCTTGTGCATGGCAACTAGCACCATCTGAGGAGGGTGAGGGAAGTGAGCTACGGAGCGCTGCAGGAAGAGCAGCAGCTTGTCAGACGGCAGCGGCTGGATGGACGGCAGGTACTCGCTCCACACCAGCGCGCCGCTTAGGTTGTCCATGCCGAATATCTGCACACAAAGTCAAAGCTTTCAATTAATTCAGTGATGAGGAGTGATATAAAGAGGACACTTGGTTGATTTTTGGTACAAACTTTTCTTGCTTGAGGAAGTGAGAAGGTGTGTGATTTAAGAGATCAGTAGGAAAACAAAAGTCCTGATCAGTGAAAAGTCACGATCAGTGGTAATAAGTAAATAGACCATCTGACGAAAATATGCAGAAAAATATCATTTATGAAGAGAAAAAAAAACAACGGCAAGAATGGATGAACGATAAAAAAGAGCGCGCATGCAGTAAAATATACCTCTTGGGTCCACTTACTATTTGGTGAACAACTATCGCAATGAACAAAAAACTTCTATTGCAACAATATCAGACTACTTCAGCTAATGATCTTCAACAAAAAATGGAATAGAATCAATGATATGCAATGCCCTCATTCATCATTCACGACTTCCGCCAATTTTACTCTAAGACAGTGAAACGAAATGTATGTAAATTCTGCAGAAACTTAAGATCACTCTGAAAATGAAAGGAATAAACAGAAAAACAATTCTTGGAAGGTAAAAAAATAACACAAATAACTTGGAAATAATTACAATATTTAAAAGGGCGAAACTAAGCAGCTAATTAGTACTTTGCCCGACGCCGTGGCTATGATGAGGAGTTTGTGGATGTTGAATTCGTCCCTGTAGAGCGCGGGAGGCGAGTCTGGTGACGAGTGCGAGGGCGAGAGCGAGTCTTCGAGCAGCTCGGCCAGCCAGGACAGCAGCTCGCTGCCCTGCAGCATCACGCGATGCACAAGGCTGTGTAACACTCCTGCAACACATATTACATGTCATACGGACAACTGCATCCAGGCAGATCGGGAAAAATATGTTTATTTGAATTATACCTAACATTATTTGGTCTTGTAACCAATAAATGCACACCATTTAAGATAAAAGGAACTATACATAGATTCATCACGAGGCAATTATCGATTAATCGTTTAATACAATCATCTGTCATACAAAAATTTCTTGGCTTTACAGATTGTTTTAAAAACACATTCACATCTAATCAAGATCCTGAGACTGGTTGCCCCAGATTCTAAACATTCTACTAAAAAACTATACTGAACTATAGCACAAGAATACATTGACTTTACTTTAATATAAAATTAAGCACAGAGTCCCACTGACCAGCGCGCTGTGCCATGTGGTCATGCATGGAGACGGACGAGGCAGGGATGGGCAGGTCGACCGCCTCTACAGCCAGCACAGACGCCAGAGCTTCTTCTCGCAACCACAGAACTCCTGCAGGGATTTTAGACTGGTATTCAGAAGTTAGGTTATCAGGGTTGAAAATTTTAAGGAATAATTTCAACCGCCAAAAAAATTCTTCAATAAAAAAAAACAGTAATTATATGATGGCCTGAAACTTCGAACTTGATGGCTCGAATAATCCAAGTTGATGTAAGATTAGCAAGTTAAGAGCATAAATGAAGCTTGATCATGCACTTGCCAGTTCATGGCACTTATACTTATTAAACAACGTACTGGGAAGTCACTTCAGATAAACAACTTTTTCTTAGTAGGATCGTTGATTGAAAATCATTTCAGAACCCGAACACCATCCCAATGCAAATATTACAAAGACAACCAATAGAGAAATGCAAGAGTTTGTTTCGTGTACCAGGTGAGGCAACAAGATGGACGCTGTCATCGTGCATGACGACCAGCGCCCTCACGGCCACCTCGCCATCACCGCGTCGCTGGTACTGCTGCACTACCAGCATCCGCACTGCAGCCTCCGCCCCCACCGAGAACTGCAGGCTCCGCGACACCAACTCCGTGCCCAGCGCCAGCGAGAACCCGCTGATCCGGATGGCCTGCAAATACATTATTAGTCAACTAAAATCTGTAGCTGGTGGGCAGGAATGGAATGACAATATTATCAAATTTGTTGTATTATCAGCTGTATTGGCAATACAACTAAATATCAGAAGCAGCCAACAGGCAATGACAATATTACCAAACAACTAACATCTAACAATAGTGGGAGGCAGGGACGATGTCATCATACGAAAAATATTTAATGCAAAAAATGTGCACACTGCAAATTGTTTAGATTGATTATATATATGCTCTAACAATTGTTGTAATATTATTAACCAGCTCCCTATGTAGCTTCAATCCTGTTAATTTTTTTATTATAACTTGAGTCCACCTCAATCTAACGTTCAGAAATATCCCTGGCCTTTTGCAGTCTAAAGCCATGAGACTAACCTGCTTGTGATGCAGCGCCCGGTATATGACAGCGTCGTCAGCCTGAGTGACGTCCACAACACTGACAGCCCCAGAAGAAGCGCCTGCCTCCTTCACGGGTGTAACTGAGCCATCACTCCCCACCTGCAACACGCTGCTGCTCTCCCCACTCTTGGGGAGAAAATGTTATTTACTCAAAGATCCTTCCCACTTTTAGGGAGAAAAGATGTCATTTACCACAACATCCTCCCCACTCTCGGGGAGAAAATATGTCATTTACCCCAACATAATAGGCAGAAGATCAAGAAGCAGAAGATGAGTGATATTTTTTGTCATTTACAATTAGATGAAATGGGATTCACCATTAGACGTGTCACGTTTCATCTAAACATCAATTATAAACAATTTTGTGCTAAGGTTTTTTAATTTCTAAAAAGTTTAGTACTACAAGTGAATCGGTCTCTTCCAAATCTAGGCTGCTATTTGTAAAATGCACACACATAGACAACAAGATGACGAACTGTACTTCAATGTAGAATTGTGATTATATGATTTATGCAATTATGGTAGTTATCATGCACAAAGAAAATCGTAGATTCTTTATCACTCAAACGACGAAATACATCAACAGGATTTATAGAAGTATTACTGTAATGAGAAGATGACGTGGAGATCCATGAACATTTTGCAAGGTGATGGGGATGGAACGGAACTTGCAGTCTGCATCATCGTCTGATGTCACGGCCACTGACAGTCCAATGCTCTGGAATGTGCACAAGCAAGTGAAACACTCTGTGTTGATAGAAATAGACTATTCGCTCATGAACAAGAAATCTATTTCCATTGGAAAAAGATGAAGAATGGCGAAATATATGCTATTGATTGGTGTGTATCGAGAGTCCCACAAGGTTGTTTGCTTCATAGGTATTTTAAACCAAATGATAAATTTAGGAGCAATTGTAATAAGAAACAAGCCTAACATGTACCAAACTTTTATGCAGAAGCAAACCAGAAAGAAATTAAAATTCTTTGAAATATCGTAAACTCATCAGATAACAATAAATATCTTGTACAAACTCGGCTAATTTTCATGTACTAAAATAAAAGTGTAAAAAAGATGCACATTCCACTTTGAAATGGGAAAAGTTTCCCGTTGTTAATGAGAGAAGACAATGGCACAACTGATTAATAATCCTCATACCTCGAGACTTGTAGAAATGAACTGAGGTTCTTTGCCTGTTGTTTTTCCGAGACGAGAGAAAGGCAGCGACAACACGAGACCGAGAGAAGCGTCCACGCACGTCAAGCTCACTTCTGTCAGCCCACATCTGAGCGCCGTAAACAATCACATCAGTGGACAATATTTCAGTTAAATACTAATTCTTATAAACAATCCTACATTTCATTTCAAGTACCTTACTACTGTTGTACCTATAAATGAATTAAGTTGATACTTTCAGGGATTGTAAAAATATTTTGGGGGAAAATACAAAGTAGGAATCTTGGCCCAACCAGCCTATGAATCGGAAAATATACCACATACAGGTACAGCCTAAATTATTAAGACAAAATAAGAGGGCTAGAGAAAAATAAAATGATTTATTTAGATAGTATCAAGTGCATTGCCAGGTGACGGTTATGAGATTCAGAGTAAAATTATATTATCTGATTCCCGATAACAGCTGACGAAGGATAATTCCACTAGCACTGATTATTTACCACAACCTGTATAGGTATACACTTGTGCAACAAGGAATCTAAACAAAACTTATTGTCTACTATCTTGGATGCAAAAAAAATTCAAAATGAATAGAATTATAAATGACTTACTGAGATTCAGATGAGATCCAAGGCTGTGATATTGAGTGTTGCCATTCTTGTGCACCAGTTTTCAAATTAGAGAATCGAGTTATCTCTGCAGTGTTGCTGGTTAGGTGGGCTACGGTCACTGACGATGAGTCATGCTGCACCAGTCGTTTGCCATACAAGCTGTAAAATAAGATCTCATCAATACATGTACCTACAAAAATACTAAGAGATGTAAGCGGAATTTGAAAAAAATATAACTCGGTACTCACTGCAGTGAGTGACAGAGAGCGCATTTTCTCGTCGAAGAAAACGCGAAGTCACAGACGGACAGACAGACGGACGGACATGGCGAGTCCAATAGTGCATTTTTCCATAAATGAGAAAATGCGCTTAAAAGAACAGGCAGTCAAATCACACTAAAAGAACTAATACATGTATGAACAAATGAAATTACATTAAAAAAATAAATGAGGAAAACTATTAATAAAATTCCATTAAACATCACAGTTCATGTAAAGCAGACTTTTAAGTTGTCTTCTGAGCAATTGGTGCCCCTAACATACTTGCTCAATTACCACCCCTAGGAACAAATTCAGTTATAACTACTCAGGCTTTTAAAGTTGGGGATATTCGTCTAAATTAAAAAAAATACCAGATTTATTGTAACGAAGAAAATTTCTATCAATTCAATGTTGAATCCAGATTTTGAAATGAAAGATACAAAGAACAAGGAGCACAACCACAGTTGCAAAAAGAACATTAACATAACATGAGTTAGAAACTTATATATTACGTAATAATATTTCAATAACCAACACTACTTCATGATACTGCTTTATGGCTGACATCTCGAACGATACACGTGTCATCAGGCAGTACGGTATCAAGAAAAATTATAACTCGGTACTCACTGCAGTGAGTGTCAGAAAGCGCATTTTCTCGTCGAAGAAAACGCGAAGTCACGGACGGACGGACAGACAGACAGACGGACATGGCGAGCACAATAGTGCATTTTTCCATACTGAGAAAATTCGCTAAATACATACTCAATGGCAGCAAGAGGATATAATACAGTCACTGTAATACATACTTCATGGAGTGACAGTTGGCCTGACTGATGCCACCTCTACACCTCCAACAGAGCAAGCACGCAATCTACCTAGGTACTTCATGGGAGGTATGGAGACCACAGGTACGAACCTATCAGGTTTGTAGTGTAGCTTGAGAGGAACTTCTTTAATAAGAGTCCCTGAGAGCACATCAAAGGATCTCAGCAGTGGAGGGTTGTCACTCACAATGACGGCTTTGCCCTCCTGTACATTCAGAGACTCTATGGTACCAGTGGCTCCAATGGGCAGCACATGACGCCACATGATCTCGCCTGGAAAAAAAACACAGAAAATTCGAAGATCGCGTTATACTCAATATGTTCCAGAATTTGTTGTCTATAAGCAGTTATCAGAGTACAGGCTCAGAAATTTTGGGCGGAGACATAAATATGAGGAAAAGAGCAATATTTGCCAATATTAGAACAATATTTGCAAGTAAAATTTCAATTTACTATAAATAATGTTGGTTTATTTTCAGCCTGATTTCTCGTGCTGAAATCCACTGAATTTGATGTATGATTATAATGAATGTAGAGGCTAACAGTCATGCTTATAATGCTTGTGTTATATAGGTTATCTGTCCAAAAACAAAAACATCTGTGAACTCATCAACCCATGCCTATCTTGGATCAAATTTAATTCAATAAAATTCAATTCAGAAGAAATTTTTCCAACCTTGCATAGGTACCTACCTATCCAAGTTAATAAAATTCAAACAAATGCTCATCAAAGTTTCTTTGATCATAAAATTACATGAATTAAGTGTAGAAGTAGAATGAAAATACTGTCAAAATTTAGCACTGCAACATTCAGCACTCTCTTATATGAAAATGAGGTCAAATAAGTTAAATTCTCCAAGAATAATGCTGAAAATTAGAATGTTTCAGGACATTTTTTGAATTAACTACCTACTTGTGTGCTAATAAAAACTGAAAAAGAAACTGCTCCAGTATGCAGCATCAAAATAGTTACTAGTATAATCCAAATACATTACCATTCTTGGTGTTGAGGACAGCAAGCACGTTGTGTTGGGTGGCCACAACAAGTCGTCTGGCAGGTCCTCCGTCAGCACTTCCACTCTCGTCAAACTGAGCCAAGTGCACACTTCCAATACCTCTTTGTATCCTGCAAAAATGCAATCAGAGTTATTTCAAGTTTGAGAGGAAAAGTGGCAAAATATATTTGCAGCGAGGAGAGACCATGTGTTGCTTAAAACAATGGGCAGATAAATAATTGACCTGCAAAGATACATTTTTTCAAGCATCAACATTTGAAAATAGTTACCAATGAATACTATTCCAGCCTCATGCATGAAACATACAGTGTACCACCAACTGGGGTGACTTTGGCCACCACTACAACAGAAACAAATGGCAGCAAAACAAGATAATAAACATTGGCCAAAGTGACTGGGGGTGACTTTGGCCACTGGGGTGACTGTGGCCAACATTTATTATTTTGTTTTGCTGCCATTTGTTTATGTTGTAGTGGTGGCTGAAGTCACCCTCAGTGGCCAAAGTCATCCCAGTTGATGGTAGTCAAATTGTTATAAATATATAATTATTTTTATGAAAATTTGATGAAAGATTCAAGATGCAAAATAACATAAAGTTATTATTATAATAAATTTCCAGTTTGAATATTATTCAATAACCCTGAAGGAATTCCACACATTACAGCAATACTAAATTTTAAGTACTTTTGAATCAAAGTAGTACCTGATTATTTCTGCATTAATTAGTTGTGTATTGAATAAACAAGATTTAGGATATTCAAGCATACCTACGAGGGAACGGGGTAATAAGGGATGGGTGGGATAAATTGGGACAGTCCTCTGCCATGGAATAAAAATGTTAAAGCAGTGAAACTAATAGATATATTGCAAAACTAAAAATAGCGGCATACACTTCAACATTTTTCTTATCAATGTAGCATAAAGAAAGTTAAGAAATTATAGACTTACTAGCTCTAAAAAATTCCTGAATAAAAATGTTAATAAGTTATATTTTGGAAAAGTACTGTATACACCTCTATTAATTTGGAAGAAATTTTAAAATATAAATCCAATTATAGCATCACTTACATGTATCTACTCACCAATCAAATTTCCCAATTTGGTCTTCGTGTAATGATGAAGATGGCAATGCTATAGATACTAGAATTAAAAGAGCCAATAATAATTTTTCCATCCTTTCTTAGACTTCTAAACTTCTTCTAATTCAACTACAATCAGAGTTCCATAGGACATGCAAAATACATTAATGATGAAAAATCATCTGTAAAATCATGTATAGACAGTTAATTATTGATTGAAAATGTTAAATTTCAAATTTAAAAGCTAAGTTATAGTCTGAAATGTCAAATGAAAAGGACAAATTGGTCTAGTTAAATCAGGTAACATGATTGTTACATAAATTACCACCTATATTAAGCTTCTTGCCTCAAAAAGGAACAATTTATTTCTAAAACAGAAATGAATAATTACTTTCAAGTGCTTTTACCAAATTTTTGCAACTTATGCATGGTAAGTGTACATTATAAAACAAGGTTCTGAGTTTAAACCCAACTCAGACCAATAAATCCAATATTAAACCATTTTCATTGACAAGCAGCCAGCTAAGCATAGTTGGGAGTGTCATATGGAGTAAGGATCATCAAGGGTATGGGAATTGACTTATGCTTGGTCTTCAGGACTTGGAGGAACACAGCACCAAGAAGCATATAAGAAGAGAACATTTTGAAAAAATAGGCCATAAAAACGGGTGACAACTGACATTGTCTACAAGCTGGCATGGAATAGATGAACCTTTCAAGTTGCAACATGAACTTTATTGCCATTTACAGCATACCATCAACCGGGGCTACTCGGGACAGTTTTGAGCATTTTTTTGTTAATAACTGTTAATAACTTCTTATTATGATGAAACATTTCATAAACGAGTTTAGGCTCCTTTTATAGCTCTTTGCGAGGGCTATCGAATGGCATTGTCAAAAAAATTTCATATGATATTCGTAAGGTGCCAGAAGCAAAAAAATGAGTGTCCCGAGTACCCATCGAACGGGGCTACTCAGGACACTTGCAATAAAATTTCATTTTAAAATATTTGAAGAATGCAGAGTGTACCGGTACTCATCCATTACTAACAGTACTCTGAAGTCCTCTTCTTTCATTGTAGATGATGTAGAGGTAGAATAAATGACATTTTCTGTGATTTTTACTCATTTTTCTTTTATTGATATGATATTACCATAAACGTTAATTACCATCAACTGGAGGGACTTCAGCTGTGTTTTTGATTTTGTTTTGCAAACAAAAACGGGGTCATAAACGCCAGGGTCGTAAACGAGGTCATAAATGCCGGAGTGACTTTGGCCATCATTTATGACCCTGCTTTTGTTTGCAAAACAAAATCAAAATCGCGGCCAAAGTCACCCGGCGGCCAAAGTCACCCGGCGGCCAAAGTCACCCCAGTTGATGGTACCGTATTATTGATGCGATATTACTGTATTATTGATGCATCTTGATCCCATATACAAGAACATGCCATTGAGCATTTACAACAACCTTGTACACTGCAAGCTTTATATCAGCAGTCTTATAGCATTTTTTCTGTATCTGCAAGCTTACAGGATGGCTTGTAATTTCACACCATTTTAATTGGGTCAAGTGAATTTACTATGAAAAATACCACTCAGTACTCACTGCAGTGAGTGACAGAGCGCATTTTCTCATGGACGAAAACTTGAGGTCACGGATGGATGGACATGACAAGCACAATAGTGCATTTTTTACATAAATGAGAAAATGCGCTGAAAAGATCGTGAAAAACATACCCGAAACAGAAAGCAATGTTTTAGTGACAACCATCATATGTTTTGGAGAAATAAATCATAGTTTAGGTCAATTACTTTTCATTCTATGATGCCTGGTGCACAATTCTATACATGACATTCTATGCACAATTTTGTGAAGACTGATGATGCACTAATTTTTTTATAAGTGAAATTTTTTCACCGAGTGAGGTAAATGTAATCAATATTATTTGTTTTTAATCAATTTTTTCCTTAACTGGAGCCTTTGCTTACTGAGGTTCTACTGTAAATGCGTTTTTGGGGGTGTCCCGAATAGCCCCGGGGGGGTGTCCTGAGTAGCCCCGGGGGGAAGTCCTGAGTAGCCCCGGGGGGAAGTCTTGAGTAGCCCCACCGCGCGGAAATGGCTGCCAGTTTTTTTTTTTTTTTGATTGAGGTATGTAAATTCTGCAAATAAAGTTTTCAAGCCAACACCTGGGTGCAACTTTTATGTAAGTAAAATTTTTTAATACAGCAAATATTTTTTTTGCTACATACCGTACCTTAGCAGAAGTAACTTTTCAAAATAGTGTTTTTCACCATTTTTTCAGGAATTTTTCAAAGCTAGTAAATGTAGTATTTTTTGACTTCCTTTATAGTACTACATAGGTAGGAAAAATGTTGACATTTATGCCACTATATTTAGTTTTGCAATATTCCAATTAGTTTTGCTACTAAAACAGTTTTACGCCATGTAGGAGGACTGTCCCGAGTTACCCTGCCAGTCCCAAGTAGCCCCGGTTGACGGTATATTCCCGCTGAATGAATAATCTCATATCTAATTGATAAAATCACACAATTAGACTGTGATAGGTATTCCAAACATGTAAAAAAGATGTCACTTTAGACAGCACCATTATATCCAGCCCAGGGTGCAGAAAGTGGGTGAATATTGAAAGATTATTGGCACCACATCAGCAGCAAAATTTACACCTTCGGAAGATCTTGCTGACACATTTGGATTTAAATTATTACATTTCAGAAATTACATTGAAATTATTGCAAATCTGGAAGACTGCAAGCATACACAGTAAGGTTTCCAATAAGTCAGATGTATTAGAATGCAGTGAAGCTTGTCCAGAAATCAGTTGCAATGATGCAGTGCATGGAGAGTAAGAGATATACTACCAAAGTTGTTAGCAGCAATTTCTTATTAAAAACTACCCAGCAACAGATCTTGAAAATGGCTGGCAATGCTTTGGGCTAAAAATCCATATAATATTGGCAATGCTGCTTGCATGTGTGATGGTATGAATATTGTGACCTTTTTTTATTTTTAGGAGTACCCTTTTGACCACGTGTTATGTTGATAATGTTCCTTTGTTAGATTAGTGACTAAATGTGATTGCATATATTTTTATGACTAAAATATGGGATCTCGTTACTGTGATATTACGGTACCTATTTTGTATGACTAAGGAATGTCTAAGCATATTTTGATTTCGTGACTGTAATATGGAATCTTGTCTGGCTGTGGTGTTTGTAGGATTTAGTTACTTTCTTGGAACCAGACTGAAGGTGTAGCTCCAACGTGATTGGTTGAGCTGCTCCTGACCTCGTTATAACGCGCGCTAGGTAGTCGTGAATGATGGAGAGTTTGGTCTCTTTGGAATTAGTTTAAGATTATTCAATTTTTAACTGTGATTAGTTTGCCAAATGATTAAAAATATGTTGACTTTATTGTATTGTATTATATTATCTATTTTTTTCACTTAGAAAGTGTTTGCGGTCTGTTTTGTACATTGTAAATGGGATGTTGAGGTAAGCTCATTTTGGCTGAGTTACCTCCTCATTGTGTGTGCTCAGTGTTGCTGGGTTGGGGTGACAAGGTTTTGACTTGAAGGAGGCAGAGCCAAATTTGGGCTTCCAAGAATAAACTCCACCGCAGTTCTGGGCATAACTCTTAATGAGTTCCTCTAACGGACTAATAACGGCATAGGTGGAGTTCTTGGATAGTTCTGGATTTTGGCTGTGTTGGGGGGTTAACAGCCATCCAATTCGCACCCTCGCGGTAGAGGCTAATAACCTCTGCGCTTGGGTAAATTGTCAGCGGCTTATTGGAGGCTTGTACCCTTTGAGTCGTGCTTTTGAGGCGTAACTGCCACCCCGGTTCCGTGTTCTTGGCAGTGTATTAGGTAGGGCTAGAACCCCTAGTCTCTGGCTCTCTGCAGCTGGTCATTGGCATCTTGGTGCAGTTAGTTCCCCTATCATTTGCTATCCATTTTGTGATTTTGCGGTGTATTAGGGCTAGAAACCCTAGTCTCTGCGGCTGGTCGTTGGCATCTTGGTGTGGTTAGTTCCCGTATCATTTGCTATCCGTTTAGTGACTTGGCAGTGTATTAGGGTTAGAACCCCTAGTCTCTGCGGTTTGTTGTCGGCATCTCGGTGCGGTTAGTTCCCGTACCATTTGCTGTAAGTTTTGTGATTTGGCAGTGTATCAGGGCTAGAACCCCTAGTCTCTGCAGTTTGTTGTTGGCATCTTGGTGCGGTTAGTGCCCATACCATTTGCAGTACATTTTTGTGATTTGGCAGTGTATTAGGGCTAGAACCCCTAGTTTCTGAGGTTCATTGTTGGCATCTCGGTGTGGTTAGTTCTCGTACCATTTGCTATCCGTTTTTGTGATTTGGCAGTGTATTAGGGCTAGAACCCCTAGTCTCTGCGGTTCGTTGTTGGCATCTTGGTGCGTTTAGTTCCGGTACCATTTGCTGTACATTCTTATGATTGGGCAGTGTATTAAGGCTAGAACCCCTAGACTCTGCGGTTTGTTGTCGGCATCTCGGTGCGGTTAGTTCCCATACCATTTGCTATCTGTTTTTGTGATTAGGCAGTGTATTAGGGCTAGAACCCCTAGTCTCTGCGGTTGGTTGTCGGCATCTCGGTACGGTTAGTTCCCATACCATTTGCTGTCCATCTTTGTGATTCCTTGCAGTGCATTAGGGCTAGAACCCCTAGTCTCTGTGGTTCGATGTTGGCATCTCAGTGCAGTTAGTTCCCATACCATTTACTATCCATTTTGTTATTTGCAGCTGTATATTATGGCTCATACTGTGTGGTTTCTTGACTGTTTGTACACCTGAATTGTCAAGCCTTTTTCTGCGAACTTTTGGATTAAGACGAATAATAAAATGTGTGCCTTGTATGAAGAAACTTGTATTTGCCTGAAGATTACCAGTATACTACGAAAAGTTCATCGTGTTCCATGGTCAGGAAGATGTGCCAGGTGCGCGGGAATTTATATTGTCATTTTAACGACCTGCGCAGTGCGCCGTACTATGCTGGTAAAAAAATGCGCCGTGCGCTGACAGCGCTGTACTTTTAGAAAGCTAAAATAGTTTAAATATGGATGCGCGGCAATGCAAATTACGTAATCACACTGACCGTACATACAAACCTGACAAACGTGTATCCACATTGTGTTGTGGTTGGAACGGTCTGTGAATATATTAGGAATCCTTTAAGTATA